CATCATTACGGGCTTAATTAAAGTTTTAATACTGATTAAAATGTTTTATTATTGTATTATGTTAAACTGCACTGGTCTCCAACCTCATTAAGGAATACAGGATAGAAATTATTCAGGAGTTTCAGTCGTTCAGTTTAACAACCTCGCTACTGTCAATGTTTGATTTAAATACAGTTTGATTAAAGCACACTTTCCTTTTGTGTTCACATGAAAGTGCAGAAAGATGTGGAATGCTGCTTAATGAGTATTTACTGAATATAAAATTGTTTGAGCATGTGATATGACCATCTTTACCCCTGCAGTAATTTACCTCAGTACAACTGCAAAGGGAAAACATTTAAATCATTTGGAATTGGAACATAGCTCAGTTGTGAAAGTTAATCTCATTACACATCTTGATTAAATTAAATGTTGAGTGTGCTATGAGTACCACTTTAAGTTTCCTGTCATTAGAAATTAATTGCAACAGTAATTAACATAAATGAATTATCGGAGCAAGCCACATACACTCCTATAGGTGTTCAAATGTTAATTCAGCATTGGCCTGGAGGCACTTACTTGATTATCACTCTTTTGGCTTTTCATAAGGAACTACTAACATTAGCAGGTGCCTAGGTAAGGTTGCCGAGTGTTGTTAGGTTTTCACACGGACCTAGTCTCTACGTTTAGTATAAAAACAATAAGCTGCACCAAGACACTGTAGAAGTGACAAGTTTCCTATACAACAGTTTAAAAAGTTGATAGAATTCATAAAGTTCTAGCCTGGGAGAAATACAAAGGCTAAAAACAAAAACACAAAGTTTTCAAAGGTTTTTAAGTTAAGCTGCATCTTCATGGTCAGCCCCAAATCGGCTCTAGATTCTGAGGGTGAAGAGGAGGGAAACAGTGATTGTATGCTTTTTAATTTTTTTTTTTTTTTTTTTAAAGAAAAGAGACCTGTTTTGTGTCTCTTGAATACTAAAAAGCAAGGCTCCGAGACATGCTTATGCAGGTGCATGTGCACGTTCACATACAAACTTCTGTCACTGTCGAGGCAAAACACTCCCCATATCATATTGGCAGTGTTCAACTTCAGTATTCTGCACCAGCTATTGGGGGAGATTCACTTAGAGAAAAATCTCTCATTAGTGCAGAGTACAGATAATAAATAGTGTTGTGAGAATCCCAGCGGAGAATTTTTTTTGTTATCATTTACTCGTGTTTAGTATTTTAAATTAAGAGATTACCAACGTGCCACATACAGCAACATGCTCCAGCATGAGACTCACAAGAAATACACAAAGACCCATCATCAAAAGTTAAAACAGCATAAAAACAGGCAACACACATCTGTATAAGTAAAGTGTTAAAACAACAATAAAAACTACTTTATTCTCCACAGTGTTTTCACTACAAAAGGCTCTGATTTTCAATCAGATGCACATGCTGGGAGCTTTACTCCCATACAGAGCACCATTGAACCAAAAAGAGAGGCTCTGCTTAAGCAATAGTGGTCCACCTTGAAGTATCAGCTCGGACAACTGAGGCTAATGCATATTTAGTAATGAGACAGCGAGGCGTACCGGCCTTCACTGAATTTTTATCGTGTTCAGCTTACAGTAAAATATCCAAACCCCTGAGCAGAATTATACAGCTTGATCATTCTGCAGTTCTGAGGCAAACTACCTGTTCTGTCTATATTTTTCAGTGAGCTAAACATAAAATTCAGCTTCTGGAAAAATTCTGTGGCCTACATGTATAGAGATCAGACTCAATTATGGTGGTCCCCTGCTGGCATTAGTGTAAAAATCTATGAAAATTTTGGCAATGTCAAGAATGTTATCAAAACTAAACTGTCTGAAACTAACCTAGGAATCACAGTAATTAACCAAGGAACAATCAATGTAAAATGCCTTTAAAAATGTAACACTTCTGTAAACGTCTTCAACACTTCCCCTTGTGGACTGAGTATTAAAATATTAAACTTGAGTCACAGTTGGGAATTCACGCTATTTATGCTTAGTGAGCTTGTAAACGTGGAATGTTTTGTTCTGGAATACTCGAGTAAAGTATAAGGTATATGCAGGTAAGTTTTTTTTAATTTCCTCACAAAAGCGAGGATATGCGGAAGGCTTCAAATTGGGTTCATTGTCTCCTACGCCATCCATGATCTGTAAGGAAAGTGAACAGATCTGTGAAACACCCTCAAGTATTAAATGGTTACAAGTGATAACTCAAGTTTTCAAAATTCCCTCTCCCTCTCTCTCCATGCTCAGGGAGTCAGACTTAAGACTGAACCAAACAGGAGGAAGAGAATCAAATTAAACTGTCAGACATTACGATAGCATCACAATGGATGACAAGCTAAAATCTAAACCTGGTTTATGTATGGTGTAGGAGCTGTGTGGTGTTGGCATAGGAGCTGTGTGGTGGTGTGTAATCTTTAGGGCTCTACACTGAAAGGCACAGGTCTTGGGTACAGCCAAGTAACTTACACGCAACAAAACCTCTTCATCTGCCATCGGAGTTGAAGCACAGAAATTCACCCGCCCAGCCTCTGGATGAGTATGCACAGGAAACGCTATGCATGTGTAGTATTAGTGTGAGGTGCAGCACGGAGTAACTATTTCCATCCCATTATGAGTTCCTCCCCCATTACATACTACTGGTTGAAGCAGCCAGGTTTCCTCTAGGCTGTATTCCTCACTGCAAGAGGTCTCTGGGCCTTGGTCCTTGGTCCTTACTCTTGTGTCAAAAATGGAAAAGAAGTAAGCTGCCTTAGACTATTCTGTTAAATGCTTTCCTACTAGCGGAAACTAAACAACTTTCTTTTTAAGGCCTTGTACAGTACTTACATGACCGTTAGCTATATCAAGCAGGTCACGTAACCGACAGCCTCTGCTGTGCCGTCTTTCGTAACATATGCTGTCCTCCAAGATCACATAGTCTGTGCCAAAAGACCTCAGTGTTCTGTAAACCTCCTCTGGAGATCTCTTTGCATATATCTGATAAACCTGCAGAAACAGAAACGAAGGTTTAAGAGCAAAATGGGTTAATTAATACTGTAGATCTTTTTGTCCTAATTCATTATTTTTTCAACTTGATTCACAAGATAGAAAGAGATAGGAGATGTGGGTTAGAATTCCCTTCAGCTAAGAAGGACCTGGAACCCACTCCTTATTTAGCATGTGGGTTTTCTGATCACTGAGCTAAGACACCTGTGTCCCACCATGTAAGAAGCCTAAGCACCTAACTTAGAGCTCTAACTCCCACTCCAAAGGCCAGGCACCTAAAAGACAGACTTTATGGCACTGAACTTGGAGATATCCAAGACCTCCTCTACATCTGGCCCAAAGTCTCCACTGCACTTCATGAAGTTTCTGGCCAGTTTCTTCATCGGGAGTTAAAACTCCCAAGGAGTTTATGGGTATTTAAAGTAACAAGGGATGTCCTACTTACTGTAAATATTTCAAACTGTTACAAAGTGAAATATGGATTTAAGAGCTTTCAAAGGTTGGTTCTTGCATGTTTATAGTGTCATGCAGCTCAGCCTTACTTGATGTGTTTTGCTGCTTCAGCAAGAATGTGGGAAGAGAAACAAGAGGTCATAGAGAAGTTGAGTGAAATTCTGACCTTAATGAAGTCAATGGCAGCATAACCATTAACTTCAGTGGGACCAGAATTTCATCCTCTGGTTCTGTGAAAACCATGCAGTAGAGTAAGTCAATGTTTGCTTTTGCTGCTGAGTTAATATCCATGAATCTCTCATCAAATTTAGTCCTCTAGGGAGAGTTACAGAAGTGTGTTTTCCCAGCATGACACATTAATGGAGGAACTGAAGTTTATCATCAGTCTCTTATCCCAGCTGACCCTTAAGAGCCAGGAAATGTTCTCCCCTGTTAAGCAACATTGCTATATTATTCAAATGGATTAAGACCGGTCTAGCACTTTAAGTTATGTATGAACACTTATAAAATTTTAGCTAAAACTTCACTGTCCACAAAGGAGACTCCTGACCTACTTCAGCTAAAAGCCACCTTGCTGGGAGCACTGAAACAAACATACTTTGGAGCATTCACTTAAATGTCAACAGATCTGTTTTGTGGCAATCATGGCAAGGAAACAAGTTTAAACTATCTCCACTGAAAATATCCCCTCATTTAAGAGAGATGTCTCTTAGCTCATGCATTGATTTCCATGCATGAAAATGGATAGTGTAGTTTACACTAATGGATAAGTGAGGGATCCTCACTCCCACCTGTGTACAGGAACTCCAGTTCTAGTTGGGAGGAGAGCTCATGGAATGACACCTGGGGAAGTGAATTTCAAATAGTCTTTCTAAGGACACAGTTATAAGCCCTGCTGCTTAGAAGGCATGCCAAGGAAGAACAGTATAGCCAATGGGTGGGCTATTATTTGGGCTCGAAGGCCACTTAGGGAGTTTTGGTGAGCTGTTGCGGGCTGGGTCAGCACCCCACCCCCCTGCAACACCTCACCTAAGCTTGCTAAGTGGTTCTGCTCTGTGCTGGACAGGGTGGCTGGGATGGGGCCAAGGATGGGCAGGGAGTGGGATGGGCAGGCGGGACTGTGACAGTGCAGAGCCAGGGCCTGCGGCAAGGGCACAATCTACTCCTTGCATGCCCCTGCAATGGGTGCCAGTTCTGCAGGTAGGGGCATGTAGGGAGCAGATTGTGGTTCTGTTCTGGGCTCTGGCCCCACACTCTTATTGCCCCGCAATCCCAGGGTCTCGATGGAGATCGGCCAAGATTTGCACAGCAGGTCATGTGGCTAGGTGGACAGGACAGGGCTGCAGGCAGGGAGCTGTGTCCGGGAGTGGAATGGTCAGGTGGGGCTGGGTCCAGGATTGTGGGGCAGTGACAGTGCGGGGCCAAGGATCAGGGGAGAGCTGCAATTCACTCCCTGTCTGCCCCTACCTGCAGAACCAATGCCTGTCACAGGGCCCCTGCCCTAAGCCTAAGCCCTGCCCCGTACTGTCACTGCCCCATGATCCTAGTTCTGCCCACCCATCCTGCTTGCCTGCTCCCTGCTTGCCTGTGGCCACATCTCATCTGCCCAGCCACATACCCTGCCTATGTGGGTCTTGGCACTGGTGGTGGCTGCAGGGTAGGTGGGCTAGGGTGTCCAGACAACGGGGCTGAGTTGGGCAGTGGTGGCAACCGGAAAGAGCTACCACCACTGGGAAGCGAGTTGGCCGCTACATGGCTCCAGCCCTGCTGTGCACCTGGTGGTGGTGGGAACAACTGCACATGACATGGCCTGGCAGGACCCACTGCAGGCTGCAGACAAAATCATTTGATAGGCCAGATCTGTCATATTTTGTCCAATCCTGGTATAGCCTATAGCATACCCTGGGTGGCCTACTGTAAACTGCAAACCTGAGAGGTTCTCAAAATGATAAAGAAAGCACAAAGGTGCCTAAATATTACCTTGGCCACCAGCTCTTTCTGTTCTCAAGCTCTGAGGCATGGCTATGTGGCCCAAGCATTACCATGCAGAGATCCCTAGGTGTGCTTGTTCTTAACATAGCTACATACCACTAACCTGTGCTATGTAGACATGACCTACAAAGATACAAGAGCCTGGACACAAGTTAGCAGCTGCCCAAGACATTAAAAGCTTCATGCACTAAACCAATTCCTTGATTCATAATTGAAACTAGGAGCAATGAATGGTGATTTCAGTTTCAACATTCCATTAGTGTCCACGTTTCTGTGGGATGAAACCAGCTGAATTATGAATGAGATCTAGTTGAGGAGCTCAGAAATGTTCTTACCTGTTTTGTTCTCTCTCGCAGACTCTTGTCCTCATAATGCGGATGATTAGTTAAGATCCTTCCAGTGCACAATTTAACTCCTGCTAATAGCTGCATGCTCCCAGCAAATGCTGCTGTCTTAGGAGTGTTGGACCTAAAAAATTATCATAATTTTGAGGATATCCTGATTGATGGTGGCTTGTTGGGTTGTTAAAATTACAAATCAGGAAAAAGTACATATTGAAGGGAGGCTTTCCACCTCCCTCTCATTTCAGGGAACAGACTGTTTGACTTTAGTACATCTAATATTTCCCTAAGTAAAAAATATTTCCAATTAATCCTTTAAATAGTGTTTCCTAAGTTTGTCAAAGAAGTAAAAGGCACGCCTGTATGTTCATTCTCTGTGGTCCAAATGGACAGGCTCAAATATTCCAGACACAATTCAAGAGGCTTGCTGAAAAAATTGGGCTGAAAAATTCTACACCACATGCATATCTCGGATAGGAGCCCAGAGCTAAGCTTTTTGGGTGAAGTCTATTTCAATTTATAATATGCTGCCTTGGTTTATAAAGCCTGTGAATATTTGGAAGCTTCTGCTACTGTGTGAGATAAAGTAGCTTTTCAAAAAATATGTTGTGATGTTTAATTTTCCAGCAATACAGTGTTGGACAGACGTGATCAATTTGAATATAAGAATTCTTTTTAATTGTCATTATCCCTATATTAATTTGCAATAATTTTTTGTTCTAAAAGCGAAGCAAACCTTTTTCCACCTACTTTACTCTTAGGAAGAGAGAGCATTTAAAGAAAAGATAGCTTCAGTTATGAAAATTACAACCAAGAAGATTCTAAAAAATTATTTGTATTGTGCTAGTGCCTAGCATCCACAATCAGTATCTAAACCTTTCCCTGGACTTTACCACATAACTATCTGACAAGATTCAGGTTAAGGATATAATAAAAAGGGGGATGGGGTAGCAAAACCCCCACAATAATTTAATGTACTAAAAATGGTGTATACAGTATATCTGCTGCCCAGCTATTGTCCAGTGTTTGGTAGGCATGGTGCCCAAGATAGGTTTTTTTGGAAAGAATAAATTATGGCAAGTAAAAAGAAAAATGGAATTGGGAAAGGGATTTGTAGAATAAATACCTGAGAAATGAACCCCATGGGCCCACAATCAAGAAACTGTGCCATTCATATCTAAATGTGTTTTCTTCAAAAGCCACTAAATGCACCTGCTAGTGTTTAAATATTTGCCCTCTGAAGCCTTGGCTGTAAATTATCACTTTTCTTTAAACTGAGCTCCATGATAAGGTTTGAAAATGTTAAGAGACAAGCATTACATTTTGCTTCAGCCCTCCGGGAAATAATACTTAGGAATGAATTAATATTTATCACAAGCCTTTCCTAAAACTTCTTGCGCTGCCATATTAATCTCATACAAAGAGGCCAGAGATAATATTTTAATATGCCAGTTCAACTTTACTGAAAAACTAGTTTTTTGGTCGTTTATAAAACTAGTCTCGTTTAAAATTCTGAAAATACTTAATCTCTTTTTAATAATTTATTTGCACTTAAAACATTCAAAGCCACAAGTGCCATGAAGAAAGTGTTTCAACAAATGAAAATAAATTAGTCTTGGAATTTAACATGTTATACCCCCTTGCTGGTTGTCAGCTAGGACATCCCTGAACCAGCAACACGCATAGGACTTACCACTTGTGCTAAAGAGCCTAAGGGCTAGAATTCACCAAGGGGCCTAGGGTCAGTGTAGTTTAGGTGTTAAAATCCAAAATTGATTCTCAGAACTCCCAAAAGTATTCAAAATTTTGCTGGTAAAGATCTCTAGGAGTCTAACATTCTACTTAGAGAACGCTTCAGGGATGCCTCAGTTTTGTCAGTACTCAGCAGAGCTGCACTCCCTTGACCCAGTGGTGCTCAACTTTAACTCTTTGGATGTTGAGGGCCAGATGAGGGGTGTAGAGTCGGCCCACGGGCCAGATGGGAACCCTGCGCTGCCTCCAGCCAGCCCATGCCCAGATCAGGGCCCCCCACCCACCTCCACACACTGATCTAGTGCGGGGGTTGGAAGGAGCCACTCCAGGGCACACAGCCAGGACTTGGAGGATAGAACCAGGACAGGGGAGGGACATTCTGTGCCCTGCCAATCTGGGCTGGGAATAAGCGGTGTGCCACTGGCACAACCTCTGTCCAGCAGCTCAGGAGCCCTGCTCCCCCTCTGCCTCTGTCCTACCTGGGGCGAAACCCCACTCCAGACAAAGCCCAGGGACTGCCATGCCACCAGAAGCAGGGGGGCAGGGCAGCAGGTGGAGGCTTGTGACTGGCAGCCCAATCAAGGATGGTGCAGCTGTTTGGCTGTGCGCAGCTGCCCTCGGAAAGCTCTGGCATGCTGGGAGGCTTGCAGGAGCACCCCTCCCTGCCTTCTGGCCTCAGTCAGTGTATGCACCTGCCTGTCTCCCTCCACCAGAGGGCGAACGTGAGTTCCATTTGCTCTCGGTACAATCTGTGCAGCTCAGTGAAACCCACGTGGACTGGAATGATTGCACCTCAGGCTTTTTGAATGTCTGTACCTAGCCACAACTGCTCTCAGAAGGAGCAGTGCCCCCCCCCCTTTCAGACAACAGTCTAATGACTAGCTTCAAGTCATTAGACCAAGTTCAACCCTTTCTTGTGCCCGAAGGGATTCAAACCCACTGCTCCTACCACTCTGGAGAGTGCTTTAACCATTAGACCCTATGTTACTCTGGGAAGTCACACAATCTCCACTCCCCCTGTTGAAGCCACTCCATTTAGCATGGAATAAATATTGCCCAGAGAAAGAGAGTGAGCATGACTTGCCAGCTTAGTGGAGAGCATGATTCCTCAGGAGGGAAGAAAACTAGATCTGGGAATCAAGCCCCTGGTTACCTTGATCCCAGTTAAGTGCCTACCCTCCAGGCTATGTGTCCTACTCATTCTTTCTGGCCCAATGGATTCAGAATTTTTTTTTGACAGGTCCTCCTTATCATGGATTAGTGCTTTATCTACAGTGTAAGAAGGGGAAAACCATGTTCCCTTGACCATATTTTAAAAGAAGTGACCCCTAGGCTGGTTATGAAAGAAATGCTTAGGTGAAAGGAAGGATCTAAGCCTCAACTCAGTCATCAGTGTCTCCATTTACTAGCCTAGACAGCTTGCAGCTCAGCATGTTGGCTTTTTCTGAACGGGAGGAAGACCAGCCCTTCACATGGACAGAAGCAGCTGGCTGGACCAAACAGAGGCAATTGGCATGCCATTGGCAAAACTTCTACTGGATCAAATGGCTGGGGAAATCAGTGAGCTCTTAGTAAAATATGACCTGGATCGGTCCTTTGTCGGCCAGATCCAATCCCTCTGTGAACTGGATCTGGCTAATGGGCTGTAGGCTGTTGACCCTTGCAATTAGGGGTACTGTGGGAGCCTAAAAGCTGGGTGTTGTCATACTGAGCACTGCAATGCCCACATTCTTTTCTAAGGCCTTTAGCTAATAGAGCAAATCTTCATTATCTGCAATAGTCACTGGAAGAGGACATGACACATTTAACCTGTATGTTGCACATGCAGCATGACTCGCCATGTTACATGCATCCCTCATTAATACTTCCACCTGATTCAGCAAATAGCAGCTGTGGTCTGTATCTAAAGCAACTAATGTGTTTCAAACTACTGAATGACACTTCTCTATTATAGCAAAACGAAGCAATTTTTACAAATGTCTGAACAAATGATGTATAAAATGAAAGGATAATTTGTTTTTATAGCTTTCTGCCAAGCTCCATACCAGGTTGGCCAACCTGCAAACAATTTATTTTGTAAGAAATGTCACTAAATAATGACAAGGACTTACAGGTCAAACTGATTTACATTATATAATTTAAATGTCATTCCAAGCAGACCTGATGGCATTTTGAACAAATAATCTAATTTAGTTTTGAAGCTCTAAGCTTCAACAAGTTAATTACTGTTGAACTAATGGGTAAACTGAGCACAATAATATAATGTGTGAACCTTTGCTTTATCTGTACTTAAGAATTTATAGAATTATGTAAATACTACAGAATAACTCATTAAAAATCAAAGGGTTTTTATAGGAATTAGATGGCTAGGCTTACCCTGTGCAGGTTAAAAAGAGGTAGTAATTCTTTCTGTTCTTGTTGAGCTGCTAAACATTTTATGCATTTGTTTTAAAGAAGTCCTACTGAAATAGCAAATGTTGCAATTACAGTTTGTGACACTAGAAATAGTGTGATTATTGCTATTAAAGTCTTGGTAGAACTGACAGCAGACTGTGGAGTTTAGTGTTGTTAAAGCTGGCAAATCTCAGGTTACCCATTCAGTAGAGTTCGGGTTTCAAGAATTCAGAGGAGGACAAATTAATGAACCTCAGAAAAAGGGGAAATTATAAAAAGGACTTCCCAGGTGCCCGAGTTGGCATGCCATATCCGAATCAACACCTTGAAGTATGGCCCCGGGAGTGTAAGGAAAAAATGACAAAAGTGAACATAGCTGTTTCTAAAGCTTGGCACATGTACTAGGGCACATCTACTAGTTCTGGTATGAGCTCTCAAGTTCTGAAAGCAAGCACATTGTAGTATGGGAAAATATCAGTGTATAGTAATGCAGAAATTATCTACATGGCCAGAATCTTTAAGGTTGTCATTAGTTAACTTTAAGGTAAAGAGACTAGGGAAGCTCATTCTGTTGATATGATCACTCTACCGATATCCTTCCTCATCCCACAAATGAACTTTTTTCTTAGGAAGAGAGATCAAAGTTAAGAATTTAGTACACCTCCTATTTAGGACTGTAGAGTTGAGACTATACCTAGGACATTGATAGGGCTGTCTTAACTGTTTTTTTTTAAACTATAGTACATAAGAAAACAAGGAAAAAAAGGAAACAAGTTATCAAAGAGAATGATTTAACTTCATAATCCTGCAAAATGGTCCAAAATGCTGCAAGAACACTACTGAAAAGGTACAAAACACTACATTACTGCTAAGAACACAACAGTATTTTTAGCAAGAGGATATTTTGGGAAATGTATTTCTATATGCTCTAAATTGGACAAACAATGGCTTATCATTAAGTTGTATACTTGGACATTTCTTTTGAAGTGTGTTTGGATATAGACAGATTCAAGGTCTTTTCTGATGCAGAAAGTTTGCAAAATAATCCTAATTCAATACTGTATATGACAAACTGAAACTCAGCGCACCGAGTTTTAATGAATATATAATTAATTCCTGATAATGCAAGCTCTAACCATTAATTATAGGAGAACTACCAAGTGTTAGCACAGTATAATATTCTTCTTCCACATCCAAATTTAAATAAAGAAAATCAGTCCCAACTTGAGGTGTATGTTATAAATTTGTTGTTGACTGTAGTTAATGCACAAGTAATTAAATTTTCTTTACATGAACAATAATTTTCCAAAGCACTATAAATTCTAAAGAAAAAATGTATTCTGTAATCGTCTGTCATGATTTAAAATGAAAAGACGACAAGCAGCAGTTTAGCATTCTCAGCACTTGGGAACACATGAAAAATTATTCCCATTGCATCTGGTCATATCCAGTTCCTGGCTGGGACAAAAGCCACATGAATATTTTATGTATAAATCTATATAAAACTCTGTATATTGTACTCAAGGGACCTGAACTATCAAACATTTACCATCTCTTAATAAACAAGCAGTGCTAAATGGCACTGGCTGGGAAACATCAGTCATTAGAAGGTGTTGATATAGCTAAAAGATACTAAATGATGGAAACAACATGGGCCCGCTTTCATGATATGTCATTGAAGATTTGTAAGATATTTTACTTGTGAATAATTACATTGCTCCTTTTAGGTTACTGAGCAGGGAAATAGAGCATTATGGAGCACAGGCACATTGCTAAGGGTGAGAGTTTTTTTAATTGCTGGATGACTGGTTTCATCAGGGCAATTTGAGTTATTCAAACATAAAATATTAAACCCAAGAGTAAAGCAGAGGGAAAAATAGATGAAGGAAGAATTACAGTACATGCTCCAGACATTTAAAAGTTAAAATGTAGAAGATTCAGTTTTGACTACAAAATATTTTTTTTGAGGGACATGGAACTATTTTCAAATAAAACAGCAATGGGATAATGCAGAATTCAGAGAGCAGTCATTTCTAGAAACAATACAAACACCAGAGATCTGTAAACACTTCAAAGTGGTTTTGTTCACATATTGTCTTTGCTACAAATTGAACCTGCAAGTTTAGCTTACAAGATTCTAGTCGCAACGCCATCCCTCTATTATCACAAACCTCCAGAAAACACCCTACTTAACCTTTTTGCACAATCTGTCCTCTATCAGCTGTCCCAAGGTACTCATACCCTAAAAACACACCCACTTCTCCTGTACAGAGGTCCTAGGAGCTTTGGGGGAATGACAGTCTTGGAGGAAGGATTCGCTCATATGCCTCTAATACAAACTTCAAATCTAGGCTCAATGTGAATAGGCTCATTTGTTTACACATCTTTAGGAAAGCACCTGTTGGGATAAAGTCTAAAGGCACATCACAATGAGCTCAAATGTTCACCTTGCTTCACCTCAAACTAAGCTGAGCATCGGCCTGTAGAGCTACACCATGCATATGCACCTGTTCACTGCACTGCTAATTTGCAGCGTGATGGGTTTTTTTGGATACTGGGAGATCCCATTGCCACTGCAGTAGGACTAATCCCACTGCACTGCCAGAAAGGGAGCCTGGCTGGCCAGAGCCATGCTCTGGCTACTGGCCAGACTGAGCAGCCAGCTCGGTGCTGCTCCTGCCCTGGGAGGCATAAACGACACGTAGGGAGGGCACGGGGGGGCACGTGTGCCCCCTGAAATTGGCCCTCTCTCACTGGGGTGCTTCCGATTCTGCCAGCGGCACTTCTGGTTTGCTGCTGGGCATTCTGGGGTTTGCCCCTCTCCTCCTCCCATCCCCCTTTCGGTCGGCAATTGGCTGCTGGTGCCCCCCAGAGCCAGGAGGCACCAGTTGCCCATGCTGGGAGGCCCGCAGGTAAGGCTGCTGGAGCCAGCACAGGTGCTGGCCCTCCCTCCCCTATCCCACCCGGGTCATTTTGCCACGTGCCTGAGCCCATGTTTATGGGGGTGCCTGGGGACAAATATCAGCAGCAAAAATATGTGCCACTGCTATTTGTCCAGTGGGAAATGCACACCCCTGCACGTTCGTACTCATTAGGATGTGCCCTAAAGGTTTACTTTGGCCTACTCTGAGTTCTGAGTACAGAATTTAGTTTAGTGGGTGCACCAAAACTACCCTCTACTAAACCAGCAAGCCACCATATAGATGGCCAGCCACTATATCAAATTCAGTATGTTATTTGAGTCGCTTTAAAATCAAGGCAAGAAGCTTGTGCACACATGCTGTTTGAAGTCTGGATTTTCCAGTTCTATGTGTAGGTGTCCCTCAGTATATTTATGAACATGGACAAATGTTCCCTTGGAGTGGTTTCAAAATGGAAAGGGCCTCTTGAAATACAAATGTAGGAAAAGTTTTTTAATTTTGACCCTACTTCATCTAAGGTTAAAGTTGGGGCACTTGAGCTCACTTGTATCTCTACAGGCCTATGCTCAAGTAGCTAAGCAGCAGTTCCCTCGCCTCTTATGAAACTGCTCCAAGTGATTGTTTGTCCATGCCCTAATACTAGGTAAAAATATTGTCAGGATAAAAAGTAGACCAGACATGCCATGAAAGGTCACAAGGAGACAAAACACAAAGTACTTGGAGGCCCACTTGTGAAAAGAGGTATCTAAGAGCTTGGTGCTGGTTAATAGGGGTGTGAGAAACAGGCTGTATTTGATTCGGATTTGGCCCAAATCAGGGACAGCAACTTGATTGATTTGGATCACTGTCCTGATCTGATTTGGCCGAATCCGAATATTCAATGCTGATTCAGAGAATCAGCGATTTGGACATAGACACAGCTTTAACTGTTTTTTCTCCATACCTCGAGGTAGCAGGTGCAGCTCGTGAACACTGCAATGGTGGGTGTCCCACAGGAGCATAGGGGGACCCCCCAGTGTGCTCGGCGGCGAACCCAGAAGCGGACCGGAAGAATGTCCGGTTCACTTCCGGGTCTGCTGCCAAGCGCATGGCCGCCCCCGGGCGCTTGGTGATCGGCCGTGCGGGGACCCCGAGTGCCACCCCAGACCCAGGAGGAACCAGTTGCTGAGCCTCAGGGGTGCAGGGGGGTCCCCCTGCAGACTCAGAAGTGCTTCTGGTCCACTTCTGGGTCTGCTGCCGAGTGCGCTGGGGACCCCCCATGCTCCTGTGGGACCACTGTGGGAGGTGGCTCCATCCATGCCACCATCTTGGCGATCACGAGCCGCCTGGTACTTTGAGGTATGTAGAAAAAACATTTAAAGGTGTCTATGTCTAAATCGTCTAATCTTTCTGAATCGATTTGGAGGGTTCCAATTCGATTTGGAGAGATTAAAGGGTCTCCTGATTTGATTCAGATTTGGAGATTTGGCCACTGAATCAGGCCGAATCTCTGCCAAATCCAATCAGCGACCGAAGCTTTGCTCAGCCCTACTAGTTACCATACAATCTATCATGATAACATCACCTCCTCCAAACTTAAGCATTTTCCGGTATGTCAGATGAGAGACCTATCTGTACTTATCCAATCGTGAGGACTGATGGGGTCTATTGGTTTCTAGACTTCTTGTTGAAATACAGTGGCCTGCTGCTGTACCAGGGCAGAGCAGGCTGGTAAGGCATTTACAACTGGCTGTTGTTTGCAGACATGAATGTACTAATCCTTACATAGCCCATTCCTTCTTAACTATCTCCACAGGTCACTATAGTTCACAGTTGGCCTGTGACAAATGGAAAAGGAAAGCACTATAACTAAGAACATTAGGTCAATATAAATAGCATTCAACTTAAATAAAGAAAAAAAATCCTCTTACTTAATCCAGTTCATCAGCTCCACTGTGTCTGGGTCATAGAACTCTCTCAGCTCTGACAGCTCATCCATCATTCCTGGCCAGAACTAGAATTAAAGCAAAACAAAAACTGATAATAAAATGAACAAAACAAAGTTCTGGATGCTGAAAAAGAGCTCAATTACCAGCTGAATAGAAATGATTGGCTTGAGGTACTGATCTGGTCTACCTTGGAGATATGCTGCAAGGCTTATGAATATCTGTCCCTCTTATGAAGGAGGTGTATCCATTATTGCAATGAAGGTAATCAATTTGGGAATCTGGTGAGGTCCACAGCTGCTGTCTGGACAGGAAAAAAGGGACCAGTTGTAGCCATTCCCCATCTCTGTTTAGGTGACTTAGGTCAGGAGATGCACAACTTCTGAGAGGGTTCCAGGCAGGTTAAACTACACCTTAAAATCTATTTGGAAACTGAAGCTGGCAGTGAATGTAGTAGTCTGCTTCTAGAAGGGATTTTATGAAATTACAACAGCACTTAAGATTTGTACAGGGTGCCTAGTAGTTTCTTACTTATGACATACAAAAATATAAATCAAATGGATACTTCCTATCTGAAAAACTGCTCATCTCCCAGTCAATACTACCATAAGCAAGAGCAGAGGGGACGCTGGATAGCACTCAATTTAAAAGAGGGGGTTTTCTTGGAGAGTCCCTCAAATTTAGAATTTACTTCACACCTTTATTTGAAATATCCCAGATCTGTTGACTTGCAAGCTGCTTTCATAGGCTGTTGGAAAAGATGATGAGGAGCTGCTTTCAATTTGACTGATTAGGCTGTGATTCTTTAACACAAGCTAGAAGGAGGCTGCCAATACATGTACATGTTTACCGGAATTTAGTTTTAAATTTCTGCAATAGATACTTACAACACAGGACAAATATTTCTTATGATTCAAATCTACATAATAAATTCTAGTGCTTTTGTGAGTGTTGTGTTATCCACAAGAGATTCCATGATATAGTAAGATGATGAAAAATAAGGAGGACCACACAAATGAATCTGTACAAATGCAAACCTCCAAATGAATAGGAATACTAATACTTTATGAGAGAGGCAAGGGTTGCTATGGGTAATATCTTTTTATTGGACCAACAACTTAGCTGAGATAAAAGTTATCATCTTCAACAATCCTTGCCTCTCATATTTCCTGGACCATCATAGCTACAATGTTATTCCAACACTACTAATGCTAGCAGAGCTGGAATACTCCTTTCTAGATCAAGAAGTTAAAGCACATAATAAATAAGAGGACAAAAAGGATTTTGAAAAGCAAAGGACATATACACAAATGAAAAAAAACAACCCTTTGAGGATGAATTGCTAAGTCTGCAGATCACCAGGGGTAAAAGGGTACAATTAAAGAAGATAACTTTGTTAATGACTAACTGTATGTATAGATATTTGCTCTCCCAGGAGAAACTCTCCTGGGAGTGATTTAACTTCTGGAGCAGCCATTCTTACTCTGGGAAAAAAGCCTGAACATCTGTACACTTATGGTCTCCCTTGGGAGAGCAAATACTCTCCCAGGAGAAACTGAATGTCTGCTGCATAAATGACTGATTGGTATCAGTCTTCACTTCAGAAGAGATGTGTATCCCAAACCTGCTCTCTTCTGATATTGAAGTAAAGGTGCCATTCAGAAACTGAGGTGGAACAAACTGATAATTTACAAAGCAGAGTTACCAGGTCCATATGGTATTCATCCAAAAATGAATGAATGAATGAATACTAAAATCAAAGGAATTTAAGTATGAAGTAGCTGAGCTGCTAAAAAAAAATATGCAGTTTCTCATTAAAAACAGCTATTCCACTGGAGGACAGGAGGGTAGCAAATATAGCTATGTTTAGAAATGCTCTGGGGGTGAACCAAGGAATTACAGACCAGTAAGCTTTTCATCTGTGCCTAATAAATTGGCTGAAATAGTAATTAGAAGTAGAATGAAAAAAACATCTGGAAGACAGATATGCTACGACATAACTGGCACAGCTTCTATAAAGTAAAATGGTGTCTTAGATTGTTTGAATGTGGACAAAGGAAAAGTGGTTGACGTTCATTTAGATTTTTAAAAGGCCTTTGACATTCATTTAAACTTTTGAAAGGCCTCTGATAAGATCCCTCAAAAAAGGCTGCTACAGAAATTAAACATTCCTGGAAGGAGAGGTAGAGAATTATCATAAATGAAACACTGGCTTTAAGGGCAAACTTCAGACAGGCTGGTCTTGCTTTGCTCAGCTCTCCGGCCATTTAGATCTACTGCGGCTGAAGCAGAGACTGTCCCAGGAAGAGGATATAGAAAGAAAGATTAAGCTTTGTCCCTCACCAGTCAATATTTCCCAATGCTACCCACACTTCCTGATGGTTGCCATTGGGGAAAAGAGCCAACCTCCCTCACAAAATAACTGTCTCCAGCAACTATAGCCACTCCACAAGTAGCACATCACCAAGGGACAAAGTACACACAACTCTGCTGAGGGAACAATCTAACTATTCAGATACTTTACAGGGCAATTACTAGTTTACCTTAATCTTGACCAGAACATACAGGATTGATAGTTCCATCTCTGAAAGAATACTGCAGAACTGAAAAGAGGGTCTAGGAAGGGCAATGAGAATTATTAAAGGCTTGGGAACTCTTGAAGAGTGAGAAATGTAAATGACTGTTTACCTTGAAAAGGAAGTGATGTTGGTATTTTGCACTTTTAAAGGTACCAGGCCACTTAGGTAGGTAGCTAAATTTAGGAATCTTAATTTCAATATTTATAATAATATCCTGGAAAATCACCAGGATATTAAATATCCCCTTAGAGTTATTGGATTGGAAACTATATTGGCAAACAGCTGAGAAGTGGGGTACTTGCTTAGGCAGTTAGGTCAGGTGCAGTTCCATGCCACCACTGCTGCCTTGTAAATACTCACAGTGGGCTACAATGAGATGATCAGTATGTTCCAACATATTCCTCAATTTTTGCATAAAACTAAGAGTTTCTGGCATAATGGGAACTTGGATTTATGAAGGCAAAGGAACTGATTTTACACACCAGCGATTTGTTCAGGAATGACAGACTCGCACAAACAAAGCCTGATGGATGATCTTGTATGTTAAAACATTAAGTACCCTGGATACCGATCAGAATTTAAACAAAACAAAACAAAAAAACCCAAACAGTTCACAAAATAAACAGTCAAACCCAACACTCATACTGCCATGAATTATTCAAATAGGGAATGACATCTTAGTGCAGTGGTCATTATCTGCTGTATTAAACATGGAAGTCCTCTACAATTTTAGTTTTATGTGAAAGTTGTAGACTGCGGTGTATAAATGCAGAAAATTCATGTAAAGAGAAATGTAGATGTCTTGTTTGTCTTGAGACATGCTGTATAAGTAATCTAAAAGCTGGCTAGCATCGTAGCCACAGCTGCAGCTGAATAAATCTTTCAGGCAATGTATTAGAGATTGGAGCAACCACATGTCTCAAAAGAAGCTTTCATTAGCTTATTCAAGATTAGAATAATCCCATAAAACTACCGGTTTGGAGGAAGGAACTAATGCACGTTTCCTCATACATGTAACCACAGAAACTACAGAAAATATGTTTGCTAATTCAGAAAGCCAGATCCAATGGCAGGTTAAAATTAATTAATGCAATCTATGACCACAGGTGGCATGCAAAAGAATCCTTAGTTGAAAAGCAGGTAACGGGTCTCGATATCAAAGTACTAGAATCGATTTATCCCTTCAGCCTTGTTGCAAAGGTTTTTGGAGGAATGACACACACTCCGGTTCCCATGATTACAAAGGCATGCTTCTCTCTCACTAAGGAAATCAACCACTTTCTCTGGCCTACTCTTGAGGTTTCTTGACAACATTTTAGCTTCAATCTCCTTTTCAGACCATGTTTATACAAGGACTGATCCTGAAAGATGCTAAGCATTTCCTGAGAGGTGCCAAATCTTATTCTTCCCACTGAACATCAAGAAAAATCATATTTCTAATCTCAGTATGAATTAGCCCGAGCTTTTGGGAAACATGTTTTATATGAACGCTTGTTTCTTAAGGCAGACTGTGCATACCTAGTAGCCAGATCCAAAGTTCCTAAAAGTTAACGTAGGCTACTGTTGACACGAGTAGGCTTTGTATCAGATTCTATGCATTTCAGTAACATTTGAAGAAATTAGGTCTCAGTTGGTAAAGAAGCTATTGGCTTCAAAGGTCTCAGCTGGTAAAGAGGAGGGAGAAAATCTTAACTCAGATAATTTATCTGAAACAGTGTACAGAAAAAAATGCTAAAGTCTTGTCACCTACAGTGAGGATAGAAATAGATATATTGCATCCACCCATTGTACATGGGGAGATGCTATGCTTCCTAAAACTAGCACACAAAAGGAGAGGAAAAACAGCATCCCTAAATTTTATAATAAAGTAGTTTAAGTAGGAAAAATATACACGAGTGGGATATATTACCATATGTTTTTCTTAAATAACTTGACTACCTTTTATCTCAGAATTTTCTAATTTGTTTTTAAAATACATTAGTAAAACAAACAAGGAGAAATGTAACAAAGCTTCAGAATTTCTGTATTGCTGGCAGCTTCCTATCATGCAGGAGACTCCCTTCATTTTTTAACTTTTAATAATGAACTTCAAATTGAGTTTCTTTGAAGCTAATGATTTCAAGGTAAACAACATGTCTCCCACTGGGTATAACAGAAATTATTTCTGCATCAAAGTAGCTCCTGAATCTTTTTTGTTTCTACAAATCCAGATTAAAAGAATAGCCTGCCCAGTTGTCAGTGATCTATTAAATTAATTATTTTAAATCTCACTGCTATGACAAACTGATCATACTAATAGCCCATTTTGTTTATTCCATTATTTATCTTGGTGTTGCATAAACATGTTGTCTCATGTATTTACATATAAAAGCTTGACTCTTGCTATTGACTGCTTCTGGAATATGGCTGAAGGTAACAAACATCTTGGACTATTTTAATAATTCTGTACATTTACTTTAAAAAATTGCATGAGATGAAGTACAGCAGTATAGAAGATGATGATCATTTCTGCTCTTAAAATGGATCATTACACAAGTTAACAATCTGTATCTTATCTGCAACTTAGCTATAAGTGGTTAAAATTAGAACAGATATATGCTTACATTTTCAGGAAATTACGCATGTAAATCATGCCTGATAATCTGAACACATGACTACTACAACAGCACATAAGCTTGTGAATCCAAGTGACCAAGCAGTCCAAGCAGTTTAGACAGGCAATCATTTTTGTACATGGAATCACTTAATTTTCTTAAAATTCAGACATAAATCTCATAGTTAATTGTGAGTTGGTTAACAGCCCATGTACCCAGTATTTATTCTTCAAGATACATTTTAGGGCTTGTCCTGGGCATGATGTTAAATTGCATTGTCCGCTGCCTTGTGTACACTTCTTGGTTGAAGAAAGGCTAAGAGACCTCACCCTGACAGAAAAAGCGTTCAGGCTAAAGCGATGGGCAGTTAGCAGCTCTATTCAGGTTGCTCACCATTGCTGCAAAATGGTGGCAGGGATCTGAGAAAGGCATAAGGGCCGGCAGCTACCAAGATTTCCAAGCAGTCCTGTTTAGAGATGGCCTCCTTGCCTCGCATGAGGGTGGCCCTAAAACAGGTGGGTGAAACAAGCCTCACTACTTACATCCTGGCTCAACTGATTTTATAAACAGGACTGCTTGCTGGAACATATGGATTTTGACCCCTGGATATGACTCTGATCTGGATTTGGATCTGAGGAAAATGGTTGTGTTGAGACATGAGCTTGCACGTTTTAGAACTGATTTTGCAGCTCTTTCGGAAACTCGGTTCTCAGATACAGGCTTCATAAAGGAGAAAACTACACCATTTACTGGCATGGCAAACCTGAAGGAGTAAGGAAAGAGCATGGTGTAGGTTTTGCTATCAGAAATGAATTTATGTCATCGTGTGAAGCTCCAATTACAGTGTATCGTGGCACTTTGAATTAGACTACAGAAGGGATTCATCAGCCTCATCAGTGTCTATGCTCCAACTCTGCAGCTAGTGGTGAGGAGAAGAACAGTTTCTATCAACAGTGGGAAGAACTGATTGGCAGGATTCCATGGAAGGAACCCATTCTAGTGCTTGGAGACTTGGGATTTTGGATAGGCATGGCACTGGACATATGATTGACAATGGTCAGATAGTTCTTGAACTCTGTGCCAGTCAAGGCTCATCGATGACCAACACCTTCTTTGCTGGTAACAGCAGAAGAACATCGTGGAGACACCTGAAGTCAAGCACTGGCATCAGCTGGACATGGTACTAACAAGACATACACACTTGAAAGATATCCTGCATACACCATCCTTTCAAAGCACTGACTGTGATACAGACTTATTCCCTTGTCTGCTGCAAAGAGAAATTTCAAGCTACGAATATCCAACACAGTAAACCTGCCAGACAACCTCATATTGACTTGTGCCAAATCAATCATCTAGTCAGAAAACCGCTTTTCAATGAAAAATTAGCAAAGTCAGCTGGAATGGATGAAACTGCATTAGATGCATGGGAAGTCCTAAAGACAAGTATGTAAAATGTGGAAGTCAAGTTTTGGAAAGGGTACTAAAGGAAACAACAACTGGTTTGTAGACCATTCAGAGGTACTGCTGCCACTCAGAAAGAAAAAGAACTACCCTAACTGCCTACAAGTATACTCCTAATACTGATTCACACAACTAAGAAAAGCTTGTAAGGCTATTCAAACAGCTTCCAGTAGGTCAAGAATTCTGGCCGGGTCTCTGCAACAGCATCCAACAAGCAGCTGATACAAGTGACAGCAGATAGTTGTATGAGGACATTAGAAAGGCAATTGGGCTGACAAAATACAAGACAGCTCCACTGAAAGACCTAGATGGTAATATCATAACTGATAAGGGGAAGCAACCGGAGAGGTGGACTGAGCACTATGGAATGATATACTCAAGGGAGCCTGCACTAGACCAACATGTTCTAGATTAATTTCCTGGGTTTGAAGTTATGACTGCTGGATGCCAAACCTACACTAAGGAAACTTGAACAATGCATCAAAAAAAAATCTAACAACAAACCTTCAGCATATCCCACTGTATGTGGTTTTCACAGATTTAACAAAAGTCTTTGTCACCATCAGTCAGGGCTTTATACTGTTCTGAAGAACCTTTGTTGTCAACCTATACTACTAAACCTTGTGAAATCCTTACACAATGGCATGAAGACAACTATAATTTATGAAAACCTAGAGTCTGACTCGTTCAACATCTACAATGGAGTGAAGCAGGACTGTGTACTGGCTCCCACATTGTTTAACATTTACTTCTTCCTGCTTCAACACACATTCTGTGATGTTCAAGAGAGTTTCTATCTCAGCAGTAGACATGATGGAGGACTGTTTAACACTGCAGGAATCAGAGCTAAGATGAAGGTGAAGGAGATCATCATAAGGGACCTGTTGTTTGCAGATGATAGAGCCCTTGTGGCTCAGTGTTCATGTTGAATGAGTCAGACTCTTGGTTTGCATACATTACAGTTGCCTTCATGCGATCATGTAAGGATTTCACAAAGTTCAGCAGTATAGGTGAACAACTAAGGTTCTTCAGAATTGTATAAAACCCTGACTGTGTCAAAGACTTTTGTTAAATCTATAAAAGCCATGTGCAGTGGGATACGCTTCTCTCTGCACTTTTCCTGCAGCTGTTTTACAGACAAGACGGTATTTATAGTGGACTTGTCCAAGCAGAAGCCACATTGGCTCTCTGGCTAGATTCTCTCAGCTAATGTTTGAAGTCTAGGTAAAAGAATATAGCTTAAGATTTTTCCCACAATGTTGAGAAGAGATATACTTCTGTGGTTATTATAGTCAGTTCTGTCTCCTTTGCTTTTACGCTGAAGGTTTGTTATTAGATTTTTGTGATGCATTGTTCAAGTTCCTTTAGTGTAGGTTTGACATCCAGCAAAGTCATAACTTCAAACCCAGGCAATTCATCTCGAACACGCTCTACTGCAGGCTCCCTTGAGTTGGACGAACATCTCATTACCAAGTTCTCTGACTCACGCAAAATCTACGGGCTAGCAATAAGCTTGAAGAAGACAGTTATCATTCACTAAGGCTCTTCAGAAACAGTTCCAGATATCACCCTAGATGGTACTCATCTGGATGCTGTTGACCAAATTTGTTACCTTGGCTCTACCATTACCAGCCAAGCAGCCAGAAACTTTGGTCTTTTGCAAGACAGAGCCTGAAAAAATAACTAACTGTTAACTGAAGTGAAAATCCATATTTATGAGACGTGCATTTATACACTCTTCTATATGGCTCAGAAACGTGGATGACAGTATGCCAAACGTATCAAAAGACTCAACGGTTTTCGTATCAGATGCCCAGGTAAAATTCCTCAAATAAGATGGCAAGACAGTGTGACAAATGTGGAAGTGTTAAATTGTGCTGGTATGCCATTCATGGGAACACTGATTAGTAAGAAAAGACTCAGGTGGCTTGGTCATGTAAGTGAATGCTGGATCACAGGATCGCAAAGAATGTGCTATACTCTGAAGTTCACAAAGGTTCTAAGCTACAGAGGCAGATTGCTGCATAGACTTCAGGATGCTTGCAAAGATGACTTAACATCCTTTGAAATCTCTGTGGATGACTGGGAAAGGACTGCAGAATGCCACTCTGGGTTGGCAGAGTCAGCTTGCAGATGGAGTAAGGCGCTGCAAGGTGGACTGGACCAAGTTTTGTGATGACGGGTGTCAGAGGAGGAAAAAATCTGCTGCATCTGCTGAATCAGATTCAGAGCATTGCTAGTGCATGGGTGTGCCCTACCTGTGGGCAGGACTGTCACTAGCACATGGGACTCAGCAGCCATCAAAGAACTCGTCGGCATATACCCCATGCTCTGTAAAGAACAACAGTGCCAACTGAATTGGCATTTTAGGGCAGTAGTAAAATAAAAATCTGGTATGCAAATCCTGTTTAGAAATAAGGATAAGTTTTTATACCAAATACCTCACCTTCAAACTTGTTTCATATACAATTACTAATTATTAAAATTAAAAAAAGGTAAAATCCTATTGTCAATTAAGAAATTAAGAAAATTCTTACCTTATGGGAAAGGTACAGCAATGTTGCTATTGGTACCAAATATTTAATCACACATATCTAAAAGGGAATTCCAAAATAAACAACAATTAGTTCTTGTGGCACAACTTAATTTTAATCAAAATGAACATTTATTTTTCCGTCATCGCTCTTCCACTTATCATGTAGTGAGATATGCAAAGGAATCAACATCTGTCTGTAGAGACTGCATTTCATCTTAATTTTGTTTTGAGCCAAGACAATAACTTCTAAAAAAGCATGGTAAACGGAATGAATATAAACCACTACAATTTTAATTTATATTTGGCCATTTAAAATTAGCTCCTGTGAAGTTCAAAAATATTCTAGCATATTATAATAAACAAACAGTACGTTTTTGTTCAAACTACTAATAAAACGTAAAGGTTTAGTCAAGTTGTGACCACTTTTTTCATAGCTGTTTGTATATTGCCACCTAGTGCACTCAAATGGAATTGTTTAAATTATTAAACTCCAGATTAGTTTAACCGTAACTTTTTAAATCAGGCTTATAAACTTGTAAGTTCTTTAGAAGTATATACTAGTGCATTTTAAATGTTTCTTAACTGTGTAAGTTGTACATGTGAGACATAAAAACACAATTTGTTTCATGACGGTCTTTATAAATCTGAATCTTCATTGATATAGCTGTGGGAAAAATAGTTTTAAATAACGTAATTTTTAAAAGCAGTTCTAACCCTCTGTGGTGTGTTCAGATGAACAGATTTCAGGATAAATCCCCAAACTTCAGTACTGCACAAACCAAAAGATGCAAATACACACATATGAGATGTCCAAAGATATTTCATTCTGTAAGAGGACAGACAGATTGTTATTGATCATCTGGAACCATGTGGAACAATATTATTCTATAACGATGCAAAGTATTTTGGTTGCAAAACTTCAAGAAAATTTAAAAAAAGACTTTGCTCCCTGAATGGCAGCGAAGCAGAAGTGATGGACTAAAAGATCAACCTTGGCACCTTGCTATGAAAGGCTGAGATGGAAGTTGTTAAGTCTTCCATTCAGGTTATGATTGGTTTGTTTTTTTGTGGCATGACTGTTCTGGGAAAAGCCATACTGTTCAGGAATAAATGCAGGGCAATACAGGGAGAGAGATGAAGGACGTACCGGGCTGCATGGGGTTGTGGCTATTATATTTGTAATGTATATAAAATAATCAACAGCTGGCAAAGATAATAATGGAATTAAAAAAGAAATACCTCATTGTGCTTAAAGCCAGGCATCCAAACAGGACTGTGTGAATTAAATTGTAGGCAGCTCCAGGCTTGAGAGCTATTGTGCATTTTTCCATTTTATCAATAGGCTGGACATTAGCTGAGCCACTAAATTAAACAAACAAACAAAAATGCTAAGTGCAGCAATACGTTATTTTGAAGTAGTACATTTGCATACATTTTTAAAAATTATTTTAACATTGATAGCAGAGATGCATTACTCTCACTGTCAGGCAAAATGATTTTTTTTTTTTTTTTTTTACTTTTGCAATTGTTTTAATATCCCACTTGCAAGTAAAATGATGATCATAAAGTCCTATAATAAGGTGGTGTCAGTTTTTATATTTTCATCTCTGATATGCAGGGTCTGGTAACAGATTCAAATTAATTTAAGAAAAAAAGTTTGTGTATATATTTATCACATTATAATACAATTGTTAAAAAAATATTTCCATAAACAGAGATTTTTTTTTCATTTTGCTCAGTTGTACATGTAGGGTAAAATCATGGTCCTGTCATAATCGAGTGTGACAGTGCAATAAAGGAGTAGACTGCAGGTTCTTCAACCTGCACCCAGTAAGATTTATAGATTAGAAAAGGAAGAATCAAACAATAAGATAGTATAAACCAACCTCCAAAAAACACCAGCCAAAAGACTTCCTGAATAAATTATTTTCTTGAATGAGAAAAGATGATCCAATTGTGCTTTAAAATTGGCATTGATGAAGAATTCACAATCCTTGATGAAGAGTCTTCTGCTAGACTGAAGAGCCCATTGTCAAAGTTTTATTCTCTATATAGGTACCTACATACTGTGGTTAGGCTAGCTCTCGATCTTTGTCTTGTCTTTTTAGTCATGCTTTTATTAAAATACTAGATTGAGCAACTTGAGTCTCATTATGATAGAATCATAGGAAAGTAGGATGGGAAGTCCAATCCCTTGCTCAAGGCAGGAAAATCCCTGTCTAACCCATTGCAGACAAAAGTGTTTTACTTGCTCTTAAATTCCAAGGACAGAGATGTCATAACTTCTCTAGGAAGGCTGCTCCAATGCTTAACCACCTTCCTAGAGAGAAGGTTCTTCTTAATATTCAACTTAAAACTTTCCTTGCTGAAATTTAAAACTGACCGCAATATTCCAGGTAAAGCCTCACCAGTGCTGAATGAAACAGAAACTAGAATGATACAGCAGACTGTGGGACCCAAATGAGATGACGTACACCAGGTATGGGCCCCCAACCCAGGTTGGATCTGGCCTGTGGGGCTCCTTACGGCAGGTTTTAGTGGCCCTGACCACCACTCACCCCATCACAAATTTCTGGTCTCTTCAGGAGCTCTGCAACTGGGTGATATGGCTCCACAGGGTGGACCTGGCCTGTGAGCTGCATATTTGACATATTTAACTTACATAATTCTATTACATTAAAAGTATTACTTTTATCAAATTTGTAATTGCAGAGAAAAAAGTCTGACTGGATTCATTTTCCAAGCGCCCAAGCCGATTGGCATTAATTATATTTTTCTCCTTCAAATCTTTATTAAATAAACTCTTGCATGAGCCCTGCCATTATTTTTCCCAGAATCAACGTCCAATTGACAGACTTAAAATTATCTGATTGTCCACTTTGACCTTGTGAAATATTGGTATACAATTAGCTTTCTTCCAGAAATTCTGTATTGGCTCAGGTATATAGATTTGGGAATGTTCTTATTCTGCTAGAATGGCAGAAAGGGTTCATTGCCATAGGAGAACTACTGAAACACTGTCCAAAAACATCATCCCACCCACATACGGTATGTGGAGACCCTTCACAAAGCAGGCTAAGTCATCTCTTTGCTGCCTGGGGATTTATTCATGCTGGTGAATAGGGGTGTGTGGAGTGGGCAGTATTTGATTTGGATTTGGCCCGATTCAGGGGACAGTGATTCAATTAGCTGATTCGGATCACTGTCTCGATTCGATTCAGCCAAATCTAAATCTGAAGATTTGATTCTGATTCAGAGAATCAGTGATTCGGCCATAGGCACAGCTTTATATATTTTTTCGACACCTTGAGGTACCAGGTGCGGCTCATGAACGCTGAGATGGTGGGGCAGATGGAGTGTCCCACCGGAGTGTGGGGGACCCCCCATGTGCTTGGTGGCGTCCACTTCTGAGTGTGCGGAGGGACCCCAGGTACCCCCCCAGACCCAGGAGGCATCAGTTGACAAGCCAGGGGGCAGGGGAAGTCCCTCGCACACTTCGCAGTGTATTGGAAGTACTTCTGGTCCACTTCCGGGTTTGCCGCGAAGTGTGCAGGGGACCCCCCCACGCTCCTGTGGGACGCTCCATCTGCCCCACCATCTCAGCGTTCACGAGCTATGCCTGGTACCTTGAGCTATGTAGAAAAAACATATAAAGCTGTTTATATGGCCGAATTGTTGAATCTGTCCAAACTGATTCAGGAGCTTCCGATTCAATTTGGAGAGATTAATGGGTCTCCTGATTTGATTCGGATTTGGAGATTCAGCCACTGAATCAGGCCAAATCTCCGAATCAAATCAGCGACTGAAGCTTCGCACAGCACTACTGGTAGACTCCTAAATTGTCAACACTTGGGAATTTTTGGACTGCTTTACACTGGAGAACTAAAATTAAAAGATACTGACACTAGTTAAATACTTTTGACATGAGTGCAAAATAGTTTACGGGCTTATGAAAGAATACTTGTAGATTTAGTCTTCCTATATGCTTTATATTCTGTACTTCATACATATTTATAACAACAGAATGACTTGGTCTAGTTGTACAACACACTTCCTTGCTGTCTGTCCAGGAACTGTGGTAAAAGGTACTGTGTGCTGCTGCAGTCAGCTATGCTGGTTCGTTAACCTACTGAAAAAAATTCAGGAGAAGCTGGAAATCTTGAAATATACTGTACCTGAGATTTTGAAAAGCAACAACAGCAGCTGTTATCATAATAGGGAAGAGGACAAATATGTAGGCATAAAAAAGAAATGTATCTGAGAGTCTTGAGAAAGTATTTAATGGCAGCAAACCAAAAGCTTCTTCACAGAGGTACAGGTTAGCATCAAAATCTCTAAAGAAAAAAGAATAACAACCATCAGATTATAGATTTTAAATTGGTGGCTGCCTAGAAGACTCGGACTCTTTTTTTTCACTCCAGTATAAAACAATATATTTTCTTCTAATAACAATAACATTGCATATCATGAGTTCTACCTCCTATTTGCCAGCTAAGATTTCAAATGAATGTTAATCTGTCAGCCTCATTTTGACAATAAGCTGATACAATGAAGGAAAATTCAAACTTTTAACAAAACGTACCTTGTTGATCCAAATCCAAATTTTGCTTTCAAGAATTTAAATATATGTTCATCTGACTCAAGATTAAGAATTTTCTATGGAGAAGAAAAATAGTTAAAAGTTCTACTAGTACTTATAATACAGTATCTTTCCAGATATAAAAAACAACATTCTTTAAAAAAAAAAAAAAAATCTTAAAGAATTGTAAGATGTTTCACAAGTTTAATTAGTTCTGGTCCTAAAGTATAATTTTACTAGATAAGGTACTATGCAATAAAAATGGCATGGTGCAATGTGTATCTTTGAATATTTCTTTGTCAGCTTACAAGTAAAAAAACCCTTTTATCTAAGAGCAGATCCATCAAGCAGCCTGTGATCTGAGTGTCAACCCAATTCTTTTTTTTAATTCATTATCGTTACTAATAAACTATACATATACATATATACAAATCATTACTAATAAATTAGACATCTTCAGCTATATATATGTAATATCAATGATTTTCAATAATATCCTTCTATGTTCTGTGGAATACGCCGGGCACTTGTACGTGTGACGGGTTTAGTCCCCTAAACTGAAATGATGGGTTTTTAACTGTGAGAATTAATAACCCACCGTTTCACTTTAGGGGCTTCTGTTACTGTTACAGTGAGGGGCCTGATCCTTTTTCTTTTTTCGTGGAAACTGACTGTATTTCTCGTGGCTAGGTGGCAAGCTGCCAGTGAGCCAAATGACCCCTCAGCTGCGTTGGGGCCCAGTCCTTTCCCCCACAGCGGCAGCGCCCCCCGTGGTCACCTGGGTGGGCTGCTAGCAGGCTGGATACTGCCCCAGCTCAGGCTTGGGGAAGAGCTGGCTCTGAGCTAGGGCAGCACCCGCTCACTAGCTGCCTGCCCAGGCTGCGCTAGGGAGTGATGCCACTAAAAAACGACTGGGGCCCCCCTGCAGCTCACTCCCTGGCCATGAGAGAGGTGGGTAGGCTTCACAAAAACAAAAGGATCGGGCCCCACTCCCACCGCTGTGGAGCCTGTCTGTGCAAGCTGCTGCCAGGCCACGCAGACTCTAAGCTGCGGGGGCCCCCAGTCCTTCCCTCTGCAGTGGTGCTGCCCCATGCCCCCTGGGGGCTGCCTGGGTGAGGTGTTAGCGAGCCTGTGGGGCCTGCCCCACTTTGGAAGCAGCACCTGCTGGATCTAACTCTTCCCTGAGCCCGCCTGGGAAGCACTATCTGAAGGGTTTCCAATGGGCAGGCTCAGGAAAGAGTTGGATCCGGCAGGTGCTGTCTCTGAGCTGAGTCAGCCCTGGGCTTGCTTGCACCCTGCGTAGGCAGCCCTGCGGGGCACTGCCACTGTGGAGGAAAGGACCGGGGGTCCTCCTCAGCTCGGGGCCTGTGTGGCCCGGTGGCAGCTAATGTGGGCAGGCTCCAGTGGAAAAAAAGCAGCGAGGGACCTGATCCTTTTTTTTTTTTTTTTTTTGGAGGAGCCTGTCCACCTCTCCCGCAGCTGGGGGGCAAGCTGCCGGCAGGCTTTGAGCTGTGGGGGCCCCCAGTTCTTCTCTCCATAGCAGCAGCACCCTCCGGGGCCACCCAGGTCGGTAGTTAGTGGTTGGATGCTGCCCCAGCTCAGAGGCAGCACCCAGCCCAATCCAACTCTACCCCGAGCCTGAGCTGGGGCAGCATCCAGCCTGCTAGCAGCCTGCCCAGGTGGCCCCAGAGGGTGCTGCCACTGCAGAGGGAAGGACCTGGGACCCCCACAGCTCCGAGGCTGCTCAGCCCATCAGCAGCTTGCCCCACCTCCCACCCCTGGCTGCAGGAGACGTGGGCAGGCTCCATGAGACGCACAAAAACAAAAAAAAAAAAAAAAAAAGGATCAGGCCCCTTGCCATTTCTGCCTTCAGCAGCGGAGGTGGGGAGGGAGGGAAATCGAGCTGTCAAAAGGCTGCAATGTTACAAATTGCTACATTACAAACTAAATTACATGCAGATGTGGTTTAGTTTGCAATGTAACAAACTCATTTAAATCATAAAAAAAACCCTGCATGTGTACACCTTGATGCAATTAAACCACAAAAATGGGCATATTTTGTCAGGTGTACAAGTGTCATTGCCTTTAAACCCACTGTCTGCTAAATTCTGATCCTACTGTACATGAGGTCAGTTGGTGATATATAAGGAGGAACATAATCCAGGTTATGTTCTTTCAGTTCTGCTGGCTCTACAGTATTAAGAAAAGCAGAAAAAATATCCCAATATTTTGGTCCAATAAAAGATACCACTTGCAAGAATTCTTAACTTCTTTCATTTTCCAGACCATTACAACAACATCACCTGAACACTACTGTAATAAACTAATACACATAGCATAAGTAAGCTATTTTACTATACATTACATTAATACAAAACATTAAATTAAAATAAATAATTTATTTACCTTAATAAAGTTATTTACAAGAAGTGTCAAACATAATACCAAGAGTACATGGAGGAAAAGCTTCCCAAGCCTATTTAACAAGCCTCCAGTTTTTAGGTTTCTCTAGACATTAAAAAAAAATAAATTAGTACTTCATTACTTAAAACAAAAGGATCTGCATATATTTGAAACAAGAGTAAAGCAGACTCCTTAAAATGTATTTGTTTGTTAAATGTAATGCTATAACTGCATTAACCTAATGCAAGCAATTAAAGTTCAGCTTTATGTCCAAAACAGTATACATTTCTTTATAGCAGGGCTGTCCAACTTCTAAGCTCGGTGGGGACCACACCAGCAGAGTCCGCATACCATGCAGGCTATACCAGGCAAGGCATGGACCACCTGGCTGCATGCTGCAAGTCCACTCCCCGCAGCCCCCTCCACAGCTGACCTGCACTGCAAGCCCATGCAAGCACCCCCCCCCCCCCCCCCCACCCCCCCGTCTTCTGCCCCCCCCCCCCAACTACTGCACTGTTTGCTCCCCTACAACTGCACTGGGCAGCACCCCTTCTTCCCCCACCCCGCAAATGCTGCACCAGGTGGGAGGCAGGAAACAAGCCAAAGGAGGGAGAGGGAACCCATAGGCTCCAGTGTTGTTGCAGCCAGAGAAATGGGGAAAACAGCAGCCAGGCAGGGTCCGAGTGTTGCAACTTAACTTGGGGTCCTCGTGCAGTCCACAAACTGCCAGCTGAACAGCTACTATATATGATAAAAGGTGCACTCCGAAGTAGTCTCATTGTACTTATGTAGTCACCAGACCCTGGTGGAAAGCTATAGTAGCAATCTGCAATTCTGACCTCAGAGATAACATGTACTCTTTAGGGCACTGCTAGGAGAGCAGCGTTTTGTTAATGTGCCATTGAGGAGGCTAAGATCTACCTGTACGTGAATCCACCAGGTCACTTCTCAGTGATTTCCCAGCTTAAAAATCCAACTTTAAGAACGGTCCCACTCCTGTTCACAATCAAATGTGGGATGGGTTCAGCCATAGCTTAATTAGAAAAACATAGTACTGATATCACAGTGCCATGCAAGGCCAAAAATGTTTTTCATGTCATGGACTCAAATCAGTGACTCATCTCATCTGGCTTCACCAATAGTTACTAATATCAGATGTTTCACGGGAAAGTAAAAAAGTACTTATAAAACAGTAACTAAATGCAGAAATGGAGGAAAACAATCCTGACCCTTGAAGCAAATCAGCGAATGCCCATAATATTGTTTCACATAAGCTTGCTTCTGTGAAAGTTTCTGCTGGAGAGAATAGTTAGGTCCAAGCAAGGCCCAAGCAAAGTAACTGCACGCACGCACACACAAAAATTCTCTTGTGGGATCAGGACATTAACTTTACACAGCTATACATATGAACAATGGCTGTAGTGTTTGAACATTCCTGATCTATCCAAAGAGTTATGTTATAAATAGTCAACTAACAGTTAATTTACTGTCACTGAGTTATTGGAACCGATGATTTTATGTCTTTACTCCAACAGAAATTTTTTCAACATTGTAGTCTGCTGAGGCTACCAAAGGAGACTCCATAGAAAACTAAGATTGCTTTTAAATAATTTTTCATACTGTTTGTTCACTATTTATGAAAACAAAACAAACAAAAACAGTTTTGGATCACATACCTGAATTGTTCTTGCTAGCAAGACAGAAACATTAAAACTTATCGCTAATGATCCAAGAATCATGGAATTAAAGAACTGTAGAATACAGACCAGTAGTAAGCCAGTTACTTGTATAATATAGAGCATCATAACCTGCAACGAGATGTTATGTTTGCCAGAATTTCAAAAAATATTTAATATTTATTTGATTAAAGCAAAGATCTTCTATCAATTACTTTTAAAACTTTTACACTATGGCATCTACCACTAAAAATTAAAACACTCACTGACAGAACCCTATTTTGTAGAATATTTGTATGTATGAGAATTAACATCGTTAACTGTACTTTATGCTTTTGCTATGAATGTTTGGTGCCACAATGAACACCAGCAGAGCTAGGAAAAATTGACTACATAGCATCTTAGGGAAGTTCTAAAAAAAAGTCGAAGTTCTTCCACAACCTCTGTGAAGTATCTTTCTGTCCCAAAACTTGCAATCACAAATATTTATTTTGCTAATTTCAAGCTAACATTTTAGTTGCTTGGCATAAAACGGTCCTGACATTTTATCAAAATTACAGTAGGCAATTCTCGTGGATGCTCAAAAGGATATTCATGTTAGAAAACAAGTTACAGCAAAAGCTTTGTTATCCAGCACCCATGGGGAATGGGAGGCACCGGATAACCAAATATGCTGGTTACCTGAGAGGCCTGAACAGGCGTATTTGCCTGTTCGGGCTGCCGCCCCTCCCATCGCGTCAGTGTGCCAGGGAACAGGGAGGGGGGCGCCGGGCATACTGGGGACAGGCTGTTATGCCCCAGGCCATGGGGGCTTGGTGAAACTGGAAGTGCCACGGTGGGCACTTCCAGTTTCGCTTTTGCCACATTGACTGGCATGCTGGTTAATAGAGGATGCTGGTTTCTAAGGTGCCAGATAACACGACTTTTGCTGTATTTCGCTAATGCAAGTTGCTATATGCAGCATTTAATAATTAATATTTTTACACTGTATATAGTATATACAGAGCATAGTCTGATTACCACACTGGCCCAAAACACTAATCACCCTGGGACAACACTCTATGCAAAGTTCATTTTAAATGAGTTTGTATTTAGGATAAAATGACTGCCGAGCTGTAGTAGCTTCTGAGGTATATCTATTACTACCCTGAGTTTATCTGCAGATGTAAATAAGAATGTGAATTAGCCTTGAATTCAAGAGTTCTAAGAGAGGAAGTTTTTCTTTTTCATCCACATGATGATGTTTAGCATAAATTAACAATATTGCTTTAAAATTTAGGGCATCACCCTCTTAACTTTGAAACTGACAGCAGATGATTATTCTTTGTGCACTGGAATACTATGCAGTATAGTATGCTATAAAATGTATACTATTTTAAGTATACAATAATCATACTCAAAAACAGTCTCTGGTAGGGATCATTTTACTGTCAACTTTGCAGTGCTTAGAAGGTGTATTGAGACTATCTCAATAGAACTAGAGACTTTTGACAACGAATAAAGGGAAAATATTTTATTTTATTAAAAGATGTTTTGTTCTATTTTGTAGTTAAACAATCCTTCAACTAACAAATTCCAGTTTTTGCTCCTTACAACAACTGTTTTTTTTTTAGTTCAGCAACCCAGTGATGGCTGCTGTTGTATGGTAAACTCAAATGTCTCAAGGGTATAACTTGTCTTGCTTGTTGCTGCAACAGCAATCTGGTCCATTCTGTTCCTCCTTTTCATGTATGGTGCAGTGTCTATATCTGTCTTTCAAACAAGGATGTAAGGTTGTCAAGACAACATTTATACATTCTTATGACTTTACCTAGCAAAACTGTTATCACGTCTACACAGTTTATGTGACGGATTCATCACTATGACAGGTGCTTGTGGAAATCAATACCGCAGAGATTTCCTCTTTAAGACTTCTTTATTGTCAATTTTTTGGGCTCTGGGTGCCGCTACAGCCTATGGGCCACCTAATTATTTATGATGCTGTAAACTATTTGTGGCAGAGAGAGTGCCTTCCTATGCATTTATGCAGCACCTGGCACTACAGGGACCTGATCTTTATTAGGACCTGCAGAAACTCATACTATAAATATAAATAAAACAAACAAAAAAATCCCACTCAAATACCTTTGATCCAGTTCTGCCTCCAAGTCACTTAAGGAGGAGTGCATGGGTGCAACTCGGGTAAGAAATGTGTCCATTTTATGGTTTCTAAAAGATTCTGTTGATACCATTTAAAGCATGACAAAAATGGGGCACTATAAAACTGCAAAACCAGAAAGTAATGGCAATATAAAACAGACTGTTCTGTCATTTAGGATGTATAAAGAGAGAACTTTCAAAAGTAGATTCCTAAAGGCTTATAAATTTTAATTTGGAAATGTAATCATGTTCCTATTTTCAAAAATGCTATGCAACCAGCAGCTCCCACTAGTGTAAAATCTTGCGCGTGTGTGTACACACACAGAAACAAATATGCAACAATTAAGTAAAAAAACATGTCCCTGAGTCTCTTCAGCTAACACCATGATAATATATGACTAAATCATTCATACCTGTTAGTTATGAATATTAAGAGTTTCAAATGGCTTGTATTGAAATGGCACTCCATTAACATCTTTTCAAAATAGCTATAATTTCAAACCTACATTTTTATATTAGTAACTTCTTTCAAAGATTTTAAAATGTTGATCAAGTTATTTCCCTATATTAAGTGGGAAACCAGGGATTAATTTAATTACTTGTACAGGAATCTAACAGCATAGTGCATTTCTTAGTCTCTGTGGATTGTTACTTAAGAGTCACTACTGGTATACCATTATGCTGGGAATTAAATTGGAGAGCGAACAATATTTGTCCGACTAAGACTGTCTTAATAGTTTATCTTGAATCCATGTGAAAAAGCACTGTTGCTACATGTGATAATTATTAATGCTTATAAATCAGATGACTGACATCTGAACTATGAATTTATTGGAAGGGCAGGGTGTTAATGCAATATTTACATATTACATGGTGGGGGGGAGCTGCAGGGACTGAGGGGGGCAGAGGCTATGGGTAGCAGGCTGTTGAGGGCAGAGCCTGCAGGGGAGAGAGACTGCAGAGGGTAGGGGGCACAGGTGGCAGGAATGAAAGGTACTGCGGCAAGGGGGGCAAGTACTGGGGGGTAGGGGGAAAGGGGGCCAGCTGCGCACCCACTGCTAACAGCTCCCTGCAGTTGCTTTCCCCACTGTATCAGTGCAGGGGACAAAATTAAGATGACCCTCTGATAATCAGATTCTAAACAAGGAAAATTATAACAAATTTATATATTTTCCATGTCTATAATCTAATTATTAGGGGACTGTCTTAAATTCAAGATAGTTTTGGATTCAACTATGGATAGTTGGATATGTAACTTCCAGAGTTACAGAGTCTACGTCAGGGCTAGGCAAAGTTTTTTGGCTGAACTGATGGAAAAACCACAATGTCTACCTTGTAAGGTGCTTGAGTGCTAGCATGGTAAAAAAAACAAAACTGGTCTGGGAGTATATGGCAGGATGCACTGCATTTTAATATAATTAATAATAATAAAAGTTTCTTTTTTATGGTAAATAGCAGATTTTCTAAAAATTGTAAACCTGGTGACAATAAATGTGGTGGGTCATTGCGAGTCCCCTGGCGCAGCTTTATGAGCACTCGTGGTGCTCTGGCGAGGTGCCGGAGGACTGGAAGAGGGCCAATGTGGTTCCCATCTTCAAAAAGGGGAGGAAGGAGGACCCGGGAAACTATAGGCCAGTCAGTCTTACCTCGATCCTGGGCAAGCTGTTCGAGAAAATTATTCTGGCACACATCCAGGAGGGGCCAGCAGGGAAATGCATGCTCAGGGGCAACAATAATGGATCTTGGAGTCATTATTGACTCCAAGATGAACATGGCTCGTCAGTGTGGGGAGGCGGCTAGGAAGGCCAACTGTACCTTGTCGTGCATCCACAGATGCATTTCAAGCAGGACCAAGGAGGTGATCCTCCCCCTCTATGCGGCCCTGGTCAGGCCTCAGGTGGAGTACTGCGTCCAGTTCTGGGAGCCGCACTTTAAGAGGGATGTGGACAGCATCGAGAGGGTCCAGAGGAGGGCCACTCGCATGATCAAGGGACAGCAGGGAAGGTCCTATGAGGAAAGGTTATGGGACCTGAACCTGTTCAGCCTCCAGAAGAGAAGGCTGAGGGGGGATCTTGTGGCCTGCTATAAACTAGTCAGGGGGGATCAACAGGCACTGGGGGAGTCCCTGTTCCCCCGGGCGCCGCCAGGAGTGACCAGGAATAACGGTCACAAGCTGGCGGAGGGAAGGTTTAAGTTGGACATCAGGAGGCGCTACTTCACGGTCAGGGCAGCTAGGGTCTGGAACCAGCTTCCAAGTGAGGTGGGGCGGGCTCCCACCCTGGGGGTTTTTAAGAGGAGGTTAGATGACCATCTTGCTGGGGTCGTTTGACCCCAGTACTCTTTCCTGCCATGTCAGGGGGTCGGACTAGATGATCTGCCCAGGTCCCTCCCGACCCTAGAAACTATGAAACTAAATATAGTATATCAATACTTTATATATTCTTCTTCTAATTGTCCTTGGAATCTTGATTTTTGTTTTTAGATAATAAACATCCATGAAGACGTCCACACAGTTTAACTTTTGTGTAGCTTAGCAACAGATAACTTTGCACAGAGCTTTTTTACTATAGCTCTTAGTTGTCAGAAGTGACACAAAAAGATTCCAAGTGGACAATGGGGAAAAAAGGCATACATATTTAACTTACTCAGTTCTAGCCCCCTATAGTTTACAAAACTAATTGCTTAAAGGTACATTAAAGTGCAATGCATGTTATACTACTTCTGAGAAGATACCATCTTATAAAAAAAAGGAACACTTCACAGATTGGAAATGGGGAAAGACTGCTTATTTTCAGGAGTAATCTTACCTTTGCTGTGGGAAGCATGTCAAGAGAGTCCAATATAAATAATACTAATGCTTGTATCAGCATCATAAACTGATTAAATTGCCAAGTCAGGCTAAAGAGGAATGTTGATAAAAACACCGTCAGAAGTGTCAGTCTCTGGAAAAAAGAAAACTTTTATTCGAATGATGTTACTTCCAATTGAAAGCTTTTAAAAAAAAAAGTTTAGATTTAAAAAAAAAAGTATCGCTAAAGCATTCCATTGAAAAGTGTTAACAGAGGTCACTCAATAATTGATTGCTGGAAGATAGCCAGATTGACATAGAATATTTGTGACTATTCAAAATTAGACACTGCAGTTTTGCACCTGGAGAAAAATAGTGTCATGGACATATTTTTAATCCAAAAGCTCATATATACCTTTTTAATTAGTAAAGTAAAATATAATCAATGGGGAAGGCATTCTTTAATGCTTGTCTCCAAAAGGCTTTTTCTTAAATGATTCTGACAGCCTCTAACATTACCTCAAAGACTTAAAACTATTTCCATTTCCTTTGTAACATCATTTCTAACTATAAAATCTCCTTTTAGAACAATTTCATTTGTAAATGTTTTCAACACTAGTATTATTAGTGAAGTCTTATTTCAGCTATGTCCAAATTAAGTGTAGGTTTTTTTAGGCAACAATTTCTTCTTCCATCTATATAGTTCCTTGTACATTTCTATTATTATAAGGGTTTAATAAAAGTAGGTGCTTTTGTTCTGAATTATAGTTGGTTATTTGCATATGTTCTCTTTCAACAACCTGCCTGTTATTTCTTATATTAGTGTTGCGATGTCAAAATGTTAGAAATACTTACTTCATGAAGAGGTCGTAAATGAGGTCTGAGGAGATATGTGATTGCTGCTATTTGAACTGCAAAGAATGGCAGTGCCCAATTCTCTCTTAACGGAATGGTGAATTCTACTCTTGTAGTATCTATTCTATACAAAACAAATGAAGAGTCACAAATACACAACCAAAACTATATCTCCTGCAAAGAATGTTGCATTTAAAATGGACTACTTTCAGGATATCTAGACACATTTTTTTCTCCATTACGTAGCTGACTAGCAAGTCCCTTAAAAGTTGTCAAAATAATGTTCCAGAATTCATTTCTTGGTTTTTGTGACATCCGTTCTCTTTTGTAACTTTAACTTTCTTTGTTGTCAGAGTGCTGCTACCATGGAGCCCAGCCTTCCCTTAGGCAACAGAGCGAGCAGGAGAAGGTTGGCAATTTTCAGATCAATGGCAATGTTTTTCTGCAGTTTGGTTTGCATCAGGCACTTGTAGGAATAGATAGCTGTCATTACCTTTTCTATAATCTAATTGTAATTCAGTTGGCTTGTATTAATGGTGTAACAGAATGACACTGATCTGGACAGACTTTTGACCATTCTCATAACATTTCAACACTTTAGGAACTACTACCGAAAGTCAGAAGTCCTCACTCAGCAGTTATTTCTGGATCCCTAAGCAAATGTAAAAAAAAAATCCAATGTCCATTTTTCCTTATGTAGCCAAAATGTTTGCTTAAAGCTATTTAATCTGAAAATCGCTAAGAAAACTAATTACACTACTACATACATATAAAGAATCATTCTGTAACTGGCATGCTTACAGACAAAATCCTTTGCAATTGCTGATTAATATATTAAACAATTGTGATAAAACTGACATTGTACTTGATTAAGTTACAGAAAACAACCACAAGCTCTGGATGCAGCCTCAGCCTCATTTCAGGTGTTCCACACTGGCCTAAGCCAACGTATCTTGCTCATTATTTTTCCCTGCATTCACAGTCTTAGAGTAGTACAGTTGCACATCAGATCCAAGGCCACATTTTTCTTGTCTCACAAAACCAGTGGCATATCTGTGTTAAAGAAGTGGGTAGACTTAAGTGCTAGTAACCCTGATGTGCCACCACTTAAGTGCTGGTTAGGGGCCTGTAGGCAAAGCCCTACAAGGAGAGATTGAGGGCCCTGGATCTCTGCAGCCACTGCAAGAGAAGGCTGAGAGGTGATCTTGTGGCTGCCTACAAATTCATTGAGGGGGGGGGAGCAGCAAGGAATAGGAGATGCTCTGTTTACCAGGGCACCCCTTGGAGTAAGTAGAAACAACAGCCACAAACTGATGGAGAGCACATTTAGGTTAGACATCAGGAAGAACTTCTTTATGGTAAGGGTTACCAGAATCTGGAACGGGGTTCCAAGGGAGGTGGTGCTCTCCCCTACCTCAGGGGTCTTTCAGAGGAGGCGTAGGGGGTCAGATCTGATGATCTATTGAGGTCTCTTCTGACCCAAACGTCTATGTATCTATGAAAACTGTGGGCAGCTGAAACAGCCAACCCTGGGGCATCTATGTTAGAGCAGCCCTTAGATACTTTAACTTCATCCTGGTGGTTCTAGGCTGGTAAAGCTGAGCAGCATTACTTACTATCTAAATGGCTACCAGATACTTATACAGCCCAGGGAAATTAGATATGGCTGTATTTTTCTAGCCTGATCTCAACCAGGACACTGGATTCAACCCTCCTAAAATGTTTTACTCTAACTTTGCAGCTTCAGCCCATTCTAATTATATTTAACTATTTTAAAACGTTTTCTGGCTAATCTAAAGAAAACTCTTGCTGCTATGGTACGTTATCTCTTGCTCCAATTAATCTAGAGAATGGTTTGGTACATACTTTACTGTGACAATTAAACTTTAGGAAGAATAGATGTTAGTTATACTAACCTGTTGATAATATACCAGAAAGCTGCTAATAAGCCTGAAAGCCATGTTCCACTGAGAAGCCAGCTGGTTATGTACAAAGCAATGACATAAACAGCCTGAAGTCCAAACAAAGTATAGATATACAAATAAACAGGCTCTACGTATTGCTGTAAAACAGAGGAATATTGAAGTTGGTATAAAATAGTGAAAAATGCTTTAAACTGATTTTAATTAAAAAAAAAAAGTCCTATACAAATTCAAACCATTAAAAGGCCAACCCCCCCAACCAAAAACATGATTTACTTAAAATAAAATCTTTACAATTATTTTAATTGATAATTCATTAAAAAATAGATTAAGTCCATAATAAAGTTGAACTGAAACACAAAGTTATCTAGTTAAAATGCCAACTTATACCCTCAGTCCCACTTCAGTATCTTGTCCATTCACAGGGTGCATCTACACATGCAATTAATGCAAAACAATAAACTCTGGAGCAATCTGAGCTGGAGTAAACTGTTCCCAGGCACAGTGTCTACATGTGCTCCCAAGAGAGCAGCATCTGAGAGAATATGGAAAAGGCCTGGGAGGGGGTCAGCTATGGACTCTGGGTGGCGGCATCAGATGGCAGAGGGGCTGGTTGGGGCACAAGGGTATAAGTGTGAAAGTGTGGAGCTGTGTGGCTAGGTGGCAGGCAGGAGTCTGGACCCTGGCTGGCTGGGCTGACCAGGTGCAATTTATGTCTGTGGTCATCATCTACACATGTGCTTAATCACAGTTATTTACTCCTCTGTAAGACTGTACTGTCCTCAACAGTACTATCTTAGAAGACTGGAAGAAGGCCAATGTGGTGCCTATCTTCAAGAAAGGGAGGAAAGTGGATCCGGCTAACTATAGGCCCATTAGCCTGACTTCTATCCCGGGGAAGATCTTAGAAAAGTTTATTAAAGAGGCCATCCTTAATGGACTGGCCGACGCCAACATCTTAAGGGATAGCCAGCACGGGTTTGTTGCGGGTAGGTCTTGCTTGACCAATCTCATTTTCTTCTATGACCAGGTGACCTATCACCTGGACAAGGGAGAAGAGATTGATGTCATATATCTTGACTTCAAAAAAGCCTTCGATCTGGTATCCCATGATCACCTCTGGGAGAAACTGGCCAATTGTCGCCTTGGGTCCTCCACGATCCACTGGCTGGAAAATTGGCTCCGGGGTCAGACCCAGAGGGTAGTAATCGATGGAAGTCACTCATCGTGGTGTCCTGTGACCAGTGGGGTCCCCCAAGGCTCTGTCCTTGGACCCATACTGTTCAACATCTTCATTAATGATGTGGACACTGGAGTCAGAAGCAGACTGGCCAAGTTCGCCGATGACACCAAACTTTGGGGCAAAACATCCACACCAGAAGACAGGC